AACGATATCACAAACGTTGATCAGGTGGGATAAAAGCCCGTTTAACATTAACGGGAATTTGCTAATCTTAGATCACGATTTAAAATAATTTTTCAATAAGTTTTTGATCATTATATTGTTAGCTATATCCTGTTAAATATTTGGGTGTTTCAGAACGAGTTTCCATTAAGTGTCGAAAGTAAACAAGGATGAGATTGGTTTTCTTTACTTTGCAACGTGATTGGTTTATACAACGCACACAATCCTCTCAGCCAAACAGATACAAATGTAAAATCAATCGTATCTTGGTCACTTTCCTTTTTCCGCGCTTGAGGCAGCTTTGAGATCTAATTGGCTGCTTGCGATATCTACCTTTCTTCTGATTGGTCGCCGTGATAACTCAGCTTTTGGCCTTACAACACTCAATCGAAAAGCGCTCTACATCCAGTTTTGAGAAATGTATGTACACAGTAAATTCACTAATCTTCCTCAGAATCAGCGGAGCCTTCATCATCAGCGATGTCCGGCATAGGGAAGCGCAAGATAGCCGCAACGCCGGACAACTGGCCGAGCTCTGCGAGAACCAAATATAAAATGTAAAATTGTGCGAAATTTACATCATATTTAGAAATTGCAAGAAACTTATATTTAAAGAAAGGCGTTATTCGTATTGTCACAAGCGTGAGACAAAGGGAAAAACCGATGTTACCCATGAGGTATCGGACCCCGAGTAATAACAGAGGCGGAACTGGATGGAGAGTTCGAGGTCTTGAACCCCCTACCCCCCCCACCCCCCGTTGGGTTGTCTTGTTACTTGTCTGACACCGACATTCTTACAACGACAGGATCGCACTTTACAACTCAACTGATATTTTATTATAAAAGGGGGGGGGGGGGAGGGGAAGGGAGGGATTGGCGGGCTTGAGTTGAGAAGTAATTTTGGAGTCCCTATTAAAGATTCCTAAATCCGCTCTGCATGAGTGGTGTCATCTCTGACAAGTACTCTGCTTGCTGCTTGTATCAGCAGTGCCGAAAGTGTCGTGTTAGTAAACAGAAAAACAGGCAAATTTTGAGCTCGATCGTCGAATATTGAAAGATATTATTAGTTAATTACGACAACGTACAAAAAAAGTGCATACGTACGTTCTCTAGAAACACGTAGACTTGAAAAAACCCTGCATTGAA